AAATCCAAAAATACATGAGCTGCTTCAGAAGCAGATGGTCTACTTGAGCCATTTAAACAGCAACAAATACATATATACGTATTCCCTATTGGTGAGCAGAGAGCTCAGTTCAGAAATCCTTAATTATCTGAAACCTTACTTATATTGGTAAGGGTCATGTGGGCATGCATTCTTTGAGAATAAAGAAGATGGCTTCCAACTTTTTACTGGTGCTGGAAAAGCAATTAATGCACATAAACACAGTGCTACCTCAGCTCTATACCAGAAGATTCTGGGGAGTAAATCTGTGAGAGGAATTAGGTATTTTATTCCCACAGCAGAACCCTCACTTCCTGAGGGAGAGGTAGGTGCTCAAGATTTGGAAGAAATAGAGTACTAAGCAGCCTTCAGAGGTTACTGCAGGGATGCTGTACCTTACATCTTGTCCCTTTCCATGATCTCATTTCATGGCTGTGTCCACCTGGGATTCACAGCCTGCAGTTAGGTATATTATCTGATAATAGCATAGGTATTGCACTCCTAACAACCCCTGCAGTTGGGACTGGAATTGAGATCTACCAACAGCTCTAGACACCAGGCTTGAAAATCTTAGACTTTCTTCAATTTGTTTATGCGGATAAACAATAAGAAACAATGTCATAGGCCTTATTAAATTAAATACTCACTGCTCTCCCCTCATTCACCAAGCCAGCCTTACTGTAGAAAGCTATCAGGATTGTTAAGCATGAGATCCCCATTATGGATCCATGCTGACTACTCCCAGTAACGTTCTATCCCTCATGTGTTTATAAATAGTTTCTCAAATGAGCTGCCTCGTTACTGTCCCAGTAGCAAGGTAAAGCTGGCTAGCTTGTGGTTTACTGACCAAACAGTTAACAGAAACTGAATGGGACACTCTTTAAAATGCAGTAGCAATTCTGCTTTTCCTGTTAACTGTAACACAAGGGGCTGCAGTATAATCCAGCTGAAGGACCTCCCCCCGTGCAGCAAGCAAAAGGGGCAGAATATAAAGAGCCTGAGCATGTGTTGCCAAAGAGGATGCACAGTTAAGGATGTACTCATTTGTCCCGTGCTTCTTTCCTAGAGCTCACTGCCTGCTATTTCACTTTCTCTCTCCCATTCTAAAAATGTCTCTTAGCTTGTTTAATCCTTTTTCGATAGATTTTTTCCTGTTAGCAAATTAAAACTAGTGCTCTAGAGGCCAACAAAAAGCAGTCTCTTAGTGCAGGTGGGCCTTTTAAAAGGTGCTGAGCATTTTATTTGAGAATTGGAGAGAGAGAAACAGTCCAATAAAAATTAAATTGCACCCATTTGATACCAGTCATCCTTTTATTGCATATAAAACCCGAAAAGCTAAACATTTAAATTCTTCTTATTTTCAAGTCAGCTATCTTGTAAAATATTATATTTAGCATAAAATATATCCTCAACCAAAATATTGATCTACCAGTTACCCTAGACAGAACGGAAATTGGTGTCAGTTTAATGGTGCCTGGCATTACAGTTTAAAACATTTCCATTACAGAGAGAAGGAAGTGAAACTCAGTATCCCTGCCTGCACACTGGGACAGATCATCTAAAGGCCATAGGCAAGCATGTCTGGAGCTGGTACTACCTGTGCATAGAGGGTGAGAAATGCAGCTGTGCTGCTGGCCTTCTTGGGTGAAATTGGTTGGCCTGCACCACAGAGGGAAGGTGGCAGCTCTTTGTCACCTGATTTTAGCCATGATGTTACCTGGGAAGTGCATTGTCAGAAGCAGAACACAAGATTTTGCCCAGGGAGGTGGTGGAATCACCATCCCTGGAGGTGTTCAGGAAGCATGTAGATGTGACACTGAGAGACCTGATTAGTGGGCACAGTGGGGTTGGGTCAATTGTTACGCCAGGTGACCCTTGTGATCTTTTCCAACCTTATTGATTCTGTGGCTCTACAATGGGATTGAATGCAAACATAACATGGGGAGGAAAGGGGCTGTGTGGTTTTTGTTGCCTTGTTTAAACACTTATTAAAGTTTCCATCTGCAAAAAAGTCCCAGCCATCACCACCGTTCAATCTCTGTCACAGCACATCTCCTCAGTGAAGGTGTGTGGGAGGCCTTGTCCCTTCATGCCAGTTTATCTAGGGATACCTTGACAATTCAAACCCCTAAACAACTTTCCACTATACAGATTAGAAGACATGGCTCAGAGCTGGAAAGAAGCATGGCAGTACGGAGAGTGGCAAACATTTCCCTAAAAATATATAGACATGGGTGAGCTGAGTGAAGAAGTGGGTAGTAAAGCACCAGGACTTTTCTGTCTCCAGGACAGAAGCAGTAACTGAAGATCAAAGACTGGAGAGCAATTCATACACATACAAAGGATGCTGACCTGAACCAATGCCCACCTAAAGGCATGAAGCAATTGCAAATGCACCAGAAGATAGCATCCATAAGGAGTGCCACTTAAAAGATTTTGGACTTTTACAGAAAGATCAACACTTCAGTAAGTGGAGTTGTGAAGGAGAGAAGTGAAACCTTCCCAGAATGGCAAGATTTGCACCAAGTTCACAGCTTGGCCAAAGGGTAAAAGACAGTGTGTCATGGGAGACTCCATGCCATGATCTCACAGCCATCAGTGTGCATGGGAGGATGGTCCACACAGACCTGAGAGAGCTTTTTGAGTCCACTGAAAATTGAATTCCTACCAAAATAGTTGCCTGTCTGACGGAAGACATAAATCACACCATATTCCTTCCAGCTGATCCAAGCTGGCTCCCCCCATAGAAGACCATCTAGAATCATATAATCATAGAATGGCCTGGGTTGAAAAGGACCACAATGATCACTGAGTTTCAACCCCCTGCTATGTGCAGGGTCACCAACCACCAGACCAGGCTGCCCAGAGCCACATCCAGCCTGGCCTTGAATGCCTCAGGGATGGGGCATCCACAGCCTACTCAGTCAACCTGTTCCAGTGTGTCACCACCCTCTGTTTGAAAAACTACCTCCTAATATCCAACCTAAACCTCCCCTTGTCTCAGTTTAAAACCATTCCCCCTTGTCCTATCACTATCCACCCTCATAAACAGTTGTTTCCCCCTCCTGTTTATACTTTCCCTTCAAATATTGGAATGCCACAATGAGGTCTCCCCGGACTTCTCTAAGCTAAACAATCCCAATTCCCTCAAACTTTCTTAATAGGAGAGGTGCTCCAGCCCTCTGATCATCAGGATGTGGATGAAGTGGATGGCATGCAGAGCTCTGAGGCAGGCATGCTACAAAGGAATGGCAGCTATGCTTCCGTGTGTGCTGGTACCCCAGCAGGTCTGCGACATGTTGCTTCAGAACAGGAACAAAAAAAGCAGTGAGAAACAGAAAAAAATCTGTGATCATTTGGATCGTTTCAAAGTTTTCTGATCCAAACTAAAGTGAAAACCTTTTGACTGAGCACCCACACCAACTGCTAGTTTGAGCAGGGTGATTCTCAAGAATAAGAAAGCGTAGGTGTTTCTTATATCCAGGAGCCAGGATAATGCCTCGCTGCCTCATACCAGGATTTTAAGGGGATGGTGCAGGGAGAAGCCTTTGAATTTGACCCAAGCCGGAATAGGACTTTAAAGCCACGTGTGCAGCCAAAAAGCACAATACTGATGCATATAGAACCATCGAAACAGCCAAAATAGCTTTGAAGATCTGCATCTGTCATCAGAGACCCACTTCTATCTTGTGACAAACGTATTAACCTTTTGAAGTGCTGGTCCAGGTGTCTCATCAGTTCTGAGACAGTTCTCACCACCATCGTGCACATTGCACTCATGCTATACCAGTGATATCACAGAGCTCGTTTACAGTTTGATTTCACCCTCCCTCCATTTTTACCTTCTTAAGAACAGCTCAGCTCCTGTAAAGAGGCCAGATTTTGTTTCAAAAGCGCTTAAGCTCCCAGAGCCTTTTCTTGTTCTCAATGGGAGACGAACACTTCAGAAAATGCCAAATCTCCATTTAGAGTGAGGGGCTCTGTTGGAAATCTGATCATTAGCATTTCGAAGGGTGTTACATGCCCCTTTGATATCACTGTCCATTGCAGTTCATTTTGAGAGTAGAAAAAGGCACCTCACAGATTTTATCATCAGAATGCAAACTGGCTGCCTTTCAGGAGTGCCTTTGTATTAGCACCTGCTTAACAACATATTTAGATAAGGGATCTTAGGTATTTTGTGGTTACTACTATAATAACACCCGCACCATTCTTTACACTCTTGGTTATATTTATCCCCATGCCACCCCTTCGGGATGGTGCTGTCACCTCCATCTTGCAGATAAGGAATAGAGACAAAGAGCTGAATTAATTTGGGTCAACAGAGGAAGTCCACATTAAATTGAAAACAGACCTAGGACTCTGCTTAGCACTTGCGAAAAGATGTGGATTCTTTACATGGAGTAACCAGAAAATGCTGAAACTGTGAATTTATATTCTGAATTTGAAAAGAAAAAAAAAAAACAAAAAACACACTTTGATCTCATTTGTTCATTTTAAGGAGTATATTGATAGTTCTTGCCATGAATGCTGACTGCATTTTAAATAGAGCCCTAACACAAGGTATAAATGCAGAAACCGAAAAGCATATGGAAACTGCGATATGAATCTCAAAGAAACCAGTAGCAACATTTACCTTAATAATACAATTTAATATTTAATAGGTATAAACATATATAAAATAATGATATATACTACATATTATATAATGATTATAGGTATATTATTAACTATTTCATATTGTTATTTAGTTAATGAAACTAAACATCCATACTTTTTTATACATCGTATCTGCAGGAAAGTCCACTTGAAAAAAGCAAACACGCAAGTTCTATAGAGTTAATGATGTATTTTGTTGGGTTTTTTAAATCCTATTTGTCCTAACGCCTTTTAGACACTAGTCCTATGAACCCTTAATCCTCCAAAAGTAAAGTTGCTTACTGGTAATTCTCAAAGAGATTCTTCTCCCACATAACACTTACAGGACTGGAAATGCAGGTGATGGCCATAGGGATGGGCAGCGAGAGCCGCTGCCAACAGTGCCCAAAGCACAGCCCAGCACCCAAGACAAATGCTCACTCCACCTCCAAGCCTCGCACACATACTCAGCTGGAGTCCAGGCACGAGACTGACTGGCCAGGCTCTGCCTGCACCCAAAGCTGAGCAGTGATGGTGCTGTGATCACAGTGCATCTCTCGGTGACATCACAGCCCGTTGCTCGGTGATGTCACCACAGTCCTTCTGCCCCCTCAGCACTTGTCCCAGCAGCACTTTGTATACGTGTGTCTGCATGTGTGTCTGGGGTGACCACAGTGCCACTGCCACTCCCTCCTTCCCGTCTCCTTTCCCTTTCTACTGTTTCCCAGTATTTTCAAGCAGGCGGTTTGGACTAGATAATCTCCAGGGGTCCCTTCCAACCCTGACAACTCTCTCATTTTGTGATTTGGCTAATAAACATTTATTTTTTCCTCGGATGAATGAAGCAAGCTGATATTAGGAGTTCTGTTGCATTCCCCAGAAAGCCTTTCAATCAAAATTTACCCAAGTATTCATCCCCTCTTTCAATTTTCTATGCTTTCATCCACCCTTTCCTTATCAGTTCCCCTAGAATGAGAACCCATCAGGCTTTAAAGATGTCATTACCATTGCTGAAGGGCTTCCTGATCAAGGAGCTGTCCTTCAAGTGTCTGTCTAACCTGCCTGACCTTGGAAATGTTTCTGTAGAACATGAAGTTCTTCAAAAGCACTTGCAGAATCTTAGTCCTTTTCACTCTCACTCCTCTGTTTCAAAGAACATTTCCTTCCTCCTACTCCATTCACTGATTCCAATTGTGATTGTAGCTATGGGGGTTTCAGTTTGCCCTGTGCAGATTACTCGTCTATAAATAATGTTCTCACCCAAACCACTTCTTTAAAGGGCATTTCTCCAGCCTGTGTCTGTCATGATTCCATAGAACATTTATTACGTTGCTATTCACCAGCATGAAATCCATGGTCCGTATGAGTTCATCAGCTATAGCACAGCGACTTCCTAGACATCCTGCTATGCCCAAGGTCCAATTCTTAAATCCAATTTTCTCCACTTTAAGGCTGGCTGTCACAGCTTCCATTTGAAACTAATTGTAGCTCAATTGTAGAATCTGTTACTCCCAACAATTTTAGCAAAACTGGCCTAACAAAGGCAATTTTTCAAGGGCAAGTTAGTGCAGTTCTTTGTTTCTCTGTCAGGCTCACAGGTGAAATATCTGCATTCAGTACACACAAATAGGATCTGAAATTCCAGACTACCTCTATCTTTCACAAGGAGTGAGATTTTACAGTTATACCCTTGAGATACTGCCTTTTCTTCCCTACAGAAATAACTCTAGTACACCAATACTGCTAATATTGCTAATAATGTCATCAGCAGACTTGAATTCTGTTCCTACCTCTACTACAAAGATGTTCTGTGAAGTCAGCTCTTTACCCGCTACACTTCATCTCCTTTACCTACCCAGTGCAGGTGATGTAGATACTGTCATACATGGCTATCAGTGCTTCAGGAAAGAGTCAGGACTTCTGTGCTACCAAGAAGTTGTCAAGACAGAGTAGAGTATTTAAATGTTTCCATCCCAATGAACTTGTTGTATTAACCTTAGCTATTTCTCCTACTGCTTCTATCATCTACCACCTTCCACTCTTCCAAAATCACCCATAACCAATCTCAGCTTAAAAGCTCTTTATGATCTGTTTCATTCACTCTCCAGGTGATACTGAACACAAGTTTCTTGGTTGTTTTCTTCACTCATTGATTTTGCAGTCAGTGCTTATTGTTGCTAATCACAGGAGGTGTCATTGCAAATCTCCCATCAGGCCATCACAGTATCTCGAACTGGGTACCCTTCACATGGAAAGCCCCACTCCTATCAGGTTTACAACCTGAGGATGACTGTGGGTCAATAAGTGGATGTAAAGAGTTCCAGGTAAAAGTTGATGGTTTGTTAAATGGCTTTTTCTGCTCTGTCTTCCAGACATCGTGTGTGACTGGCTAAACACCTTTCTCATCCTGAGTATCTGTTGTAGATTCATGCATAAGACATTCCAGGAAGTTCTGGCTTCATCATAGGGGACCATCCCAGCCCAGGACCACCAGCTGCTCCAGCCATCACCTCACCTGGGATTAAAGCAGACCGAAACAGAAGGAACAGTCCTTCTTGCTCCACTAGGGAGGGAAGCAAGAGCTGTAGGGAAGCAGTATTAGGCAAGTAGCACTGCGCTGTGCTTAACTTTTGCTGCCCTAACAGGCATCTAACTCTTACATCAGATACAAATTTACAAACGGGGGGTGGTGAGGGTGGTATTGATTCCTTCTTCTCAGTCTTAGGGAGAAATCAATGCTAGAAAGTCTGGCTTACTAAAGAGATCCCCACAAAGAAAATGATGGAGAACTTGTTGTTTTTATACCCTTCAAGCACTTGGGATTTTTGTGGGCTCCCTGGGCCAATCCTACTTATAATGGAAACTGTAATGAAAAACAGAGACCCTTGCAGTGAGTGGATGTAAAAAATGAACACGGGCTTGAAAATGAACACATTTTTTGCCCTCTTGTCTATGCAGAGCTCCACAGGGACAGGGACAGAAATTCCCCTTCATTGAGCTGCTTCCCACATCACAGCTCACTGGGTGGCCTGTTGCTCATCTGCCATTTCCTCCTCCTTTGTAACAGCAGTGCAGCAGAGTCTCATTCAGGCTCCTCAGCAGCACAGCCCAACCTACACTGTGCAGCAACACCAGCCTGCCCTGCCCTTAGGGTACTGCAGTGACACGTAGCATGCAGGGAGGAGAAGACATGAGGTTTAACAAGACCAACTGAAACGTGTTGCACTGGGGTTGAGGCAATCTCAGATATCAATACAGACTGGGAGAAGAATTCGTTGAAAGCAGCCCTACGGAAAAGGGCTTGGGAGTCCTGATAGACAAAAAGCTACACGTGTGCCAGCAGTGCGCGCTTGCAGTCCGGAAAGCCAACAGTCTCCTGGGCTGCATTAAAAAGAGAGGTGGCAGCAGGGCGAGGGAAGGGATTGTTCCCGCTGCTCTGGTCTCATAAGGTCCCACCCGGAGTACTGTGTCCAGGCCTGGGGTCCCCAGCATAGTGAGGGCATGGAACTGTTGAAGCAGGTCCAGAAGAGGGCCATGAAGATGGACAGAGGGTTGGAGCACCTCCCCTGTGAGAACAGGCTGAGGCAGTTGGGCTTGTTCAGCCCGGAGGCTCCAGGGAGACCTCACTGCAGCCTTCCAGTACTCAAAGGGAGCTTACAGGCAGGAGGAGGACTAACTTTTTTACTCACATAGGTAGTGATAAGACAAGGGGGAATGGCTTTAAACTAAAACATGAGAGATTTAGTTTAGATGTCAGGAGGAAATTCTTTACTCAGAGTGTGGTGATGCACTGGCACAGCTGCCCAGAGAGCTGTGTGCCCCATCCCTGAAGGTGCTCAAGGCCAGGTTGGATGGGGCCCAGGGCAGCCTCAGCTGGTGGGTGGCAGCCCTGCCCACGGCAGGGGGTTGGAGCTTGATGGGCTTTGAGGTCCCCTCCAACCCAAGCCATCCTACAGTTCTATGACATCACCCATCACCATCACTGAGCCACACGCATCCTGACAGCTGCAGTGGCTCAATGGGAGCTCCACATGCCCCGAGGAGCCAGCCCAAGCACAACCATCTTGCTTTCTCCAACAGCTGGGCAGCTGCCCGTGCTGCAGTCAGTAATTTGATAAGATACCTCTGCATCACTGCTGCTCCATTCCGCAGAGCGTGGCCTGCTAGAAATGCAAAACCAGGTGGGCACAGCCTGACACGAGGGACTGACAGCGAGGCCCTGAGGGGAAACCACCTTTCTGGGAGCCCGCCCCCAGCCGATCAGCTCGTGGCCACAGTGCGGGACTGGACTCAAATACCTTTTTTTTCAGAATAAGCGTCCTTTAGGTAGATTGTCCCTTTCCCCTGCTCTGCCTCTGGGTCTGCCCCGGAGCGGGGAGCAGCGCTCTGACGGCGGTACCCGAAGAGCAGGGCGGGCCACTGCGGGAAGCCCTAAGGTTGTAGCGCCACCTGGCGGCGCGCCGGGGAGCCGCGCTTTGGCCGACCTCACTCCCGTCAGCGGCGGCCCGAAGGCTGCATTGGTGGCTGGAGGAGCGTTGCCCTGCGACTTACTTAGAGCAGCCCTAACGCGTTGGAAGCCTTGCGGGAGGGCCTGGGGAGCTGAAGGTCTCTCTCAGTACCCATAGCGACCGCACACGGGAGTGACTTGTGACAGTCTGTCATGAGCAGAGCCACGAAAGCAGGCCCACTGCTCAGATCCCTGCCTATTCCTCAGAAGTCACCTCAAGTTGATGGGTGTTGTGTCACACCAGTCACACCAACCATGCACTGCGGCAGAAGGTGACAGACACCAGTTCTTTGAGGTTCGGGAGGGGGAGCTGGAAGAATGAAAGAGAAAGTTGCTTTCACATCCTTCCTGAAGCTTGTATCAGGTTTAGAGGAGCTTTGTCAGCTTGTTCTGTCCAAGCGGTATTTAATGGTGAGGAGGAGCTGAGGACTTCTTTCCTCTTGGATGAACACTGAAAGCTGCCAAAGCTGTGCTGTGGTATCGCTCCGAAGCTTATGATGCTGTAGAAACACTGATACATCTGATACATACACTCAGCTGCTCATGAGTGTTCTATCAGAGCATCTGAGAGCACCGATGACCTTATTCTCCCCTAAATTTTAAAAACAGGCCTTGACCTGAGCTCAGGAACATCAACATCATATTTCAGCTGGCTGCATACCAAAGGCACAGACCATAGAATATCATTAAGGTTGAAAAAGACCACTAAGATCATCTAAACCAACTACCAGCTATCCCCGCCTTGCCTGTTAACCAGGTCTCTCAGAGTCACATCTACATGCTTCCTGAACACTTTCAGGGATGATGACTTCACCACCTTCCTGGGCAGCCTGTTCTGGCACATCACCACTCTTTCTGAAATGTTTCCTAATATCCAACCTGATCCTCCCCTGGCACAACTTAAGGTCATTACCTCTCATCCTATTACAGTTGCCAGGGAGAAGAGGCCAACCCCCCACCTCAACAGCACCTCCTTTCAGATAGTCATAGAGAGCAATAAGGTCTCCCCTGGGCATCCTGTTTTCCAGACTGAACAACCCCAGTTCTCTCAGCCACTCCCCCAAGTCTTGTGTTCCAGAACCCTCATAATTCCATTGCCCTTTCTGGATATGCTCCAGGGCTTCGATACCTGTCTTGTAATGAGGGGCCCAAACCTGAAGACAGTGTTCAACGTACAGCCTCTTCAGTGCAGAGATGCACCTACCAAACTTCTCAATATGTCCTGTGATTTTACTTTGGATGTAAAGACCTTCCCACCACATATAAAAAAGGAA